TCTTTGGATGACATTGCTTTGACCTTTCTTGACATTTCTGGGCCAAGGGAGAACACTTCAGTAAACAGAAAACACAGAAGAGACTGGGAAACTTGGATGGACCAATCGGTATTTCAAGGCCAGCCTGGGTTATATGAGACCACGTCTCAAAAAGCAAACAAAAAGATTGAAAAAAAACTGAAAACAGGAGTCAAGCTGTCCTGAAACTAGTAAAACCTTGGAGACATTTTTAAATGATTACACTGGATTGAGGAAAGGCAACAATGCAAACCTGGATCATCCAGGTTGCCCAACTTTCAGCCACACTATAGATGTAGAGGCTTAATACCCCTTGCTGGCTAGCAACCTTGAGTCACTTGGACATAGTAAGACTCTCCAAACTGGGCATTGGTGGCACACACCTTTAATCCCAGCACTCGGGAGGCAGAGGCAGGAAGATCTCTGTGAGTTCGAGGCCAGCCTGGTCTGGCCTACAGAGCGAGTTCCAGGACAGCCTCTAAAATAATACAGAGAAACCTTGTCTTGAAAAACACCAAAAAAAAAAAGTAAAAGGATGGGTAAATACCCTAATCTTTTTTGGTTTTTCGAGACAGGGTTTCTCTGTGGCTTTGGAGGCTGTCCTGGAACTCACTTGGTAGTCCAGGCTGGTCTCGAACTCAGAGATCCGCCTGTCTCTGCCTCCCGGGTGCTGGGATTAAAGGCGTGCGCCACCAACGCCCGGCTAATACCCTAATCTTATAAAATGGGGTATCTCACAGGAGACAGAGCAACATCGGGGCTATCTCAGGTCGGTACACTAAGAACTGCCTTTTCACTGTTCACGGTAAGCCTGTTGTTTAGAAGATGTGGTTAGAGGTTCAGGAGTCTCAATCCAACCTCAATAGGGACCTGATCTAGCAGTTCATTCAGGGGTCAGAAGTGGGAATGATTTCAGTGAACAGAAAGAGACACAAGGAACCTGCTTGGGCTGGTAGTACATAGCAAGGGTGGTCACAAAGGTGTTTGCTCCTCTACCAAAACCCACTGGTATATACCCTTATGAGCTTGAAACTGGGAAGTAAAAAGGATAATATGCCTTTGGAACAGCAGCTCACAGATTTTAGCTTTTGCAAATGATATTTCTACTTGTATAAAATCATTTCAGTGCTTAAAGGTCAACCTAAAAAGTCTTAGGCTTAGAGAAAAAATGGCTGTTTAACACAGAAACAGTATCATAAAATATGTTTTACTCACATGTAATTAGATTATATTTTTAGTTGTTTTTCGAGACAGGGTTTCTCTGTGGAGTTTTGGAGCCTTTCCTGGAACTTGCTCTGTAGACCAGGCTGGCCTTGAACTCACATAGATCCACCTGCCTCCCAACTGGTGATTAGATTATCTTTGTTAATATTTCAATTTCTAGTTTTTGTTTTATACTCTTTATGATGCTGGGGTTAGATCTCAGGGCTCTGTGCCAGATACAAATTGCACCCGAGTCATAATTCCAGCTCTTGATTTCTCTGTATGTGTGTATGTGGGGACACACTGTGCACACATATGGGCTCACATTGTTTTGAGACAGGGTCTCTATCTCTAACCCAAGTTGGTCTCAAACTCATGGCAAACCACCTACTTCTACCTCCCAAATGTAGGGACTACAGGCATAGGCCACCATACCTAGCTTTTCTGTTTGAGGACAGGGTTTCTCTTTTTAGCCCAGACTGTCTTAGATCTAGTTCTGTAGACCAGGATAGTCTGAAATTCAGAGATTCACCTGCCTCTGCCTCCCAAGTGCTGGGATTAAAGGTGTGTACCTCTTCCGCTGGCTTTTGTTGTTGTTGTTGTTATTGTTGTTTTGCTTTGTGAGACAGCGTTTCTCTGTGGCTTTGGAGGCTGTCCTGGAACTAGCTCTACAGACCAGGCTGGTCTCGAACCCACACAGATCCACCTGCCTCTGCCTCCCGAGTGCTGGGATTAAAGGTGTGCACCACCATCACCAAGCTCTACCGCTGGCTTATTTGACCAATTTTAGACTTTTTCTTTCATTCTTTGCTTGAAAAGAAATCTGCTTCCCCAGAGGGAAATGTGGATCTGAATTCTAAATCTGCCCAAGGTCAGTTACTCTACGACCTTAGACTTCTAATATCTAGAAAATATGAGCCCTATCTGATCCCCATTCTCCAGATGGGGGTTTGTGAAAAGTAATGAGTGATCATTCAATCCCAGGTTCCTCACCCCACCAGTCTGTTTGCTCTCCCAGAAACAAACCCTCTGGCCTTCAATACATGGTACCCCACTGCCATCATAAAGTGATGCCACCACACTACTCTCCCCAAGAGCAGTAGTAGATACAGAAAGGATGACAAATAAAGCTTCCTTGAATTCTCATGCTAGAGTTCTGGACAATCCTCAGGCAACTTCAGAGAATCTAAGAGGCCATCTTTCTCCCTACCCTCTGCCACCCATACTGTCATGCCATGGCTCTTCTGAGTCCTTCTAAGACAAAGACACTGACCACCAGCTAGCTTCCTTACCCCCAAGGGAGGCCTGGACATGCCTCCCAGAGGAGCAGCTCACCTCGACACACAGGCACACATTTGCCCAAGCTGAAGAAATGGGAGTGCAGCTCCTTGGTGAAGCAGATGTCTGCAGCTGCTGGGGTCCTAGAGCGGCAACAGACTCAGTCATCCCTGCCTTCCTAGTCCCTGTCCCCAACTCTCCCCACCAGTACAATGCCTGCCATCACTGTCATGCAGACTGGGGCTCAAGAGATGTGTCTTTGGGGCTCTACCCATGCCCTTCCTGGACTGCTGGGTGCCACCTCCTAAGCAGAGGAGGAAGGCAAATATGGGCAGAAATGGGTGGGCCATTTCAAGAGGGCTATTGCTCCTCACCAACGCATCAATTTCAGGTTCCATATGTGACGGAGTTTCAGGATCCCTAGGAAAAAGGAAAGCCCTTGATGTGACATGGCCACTTCCACATTTCTTATAAATTTCTGATATACTGTCCAAATAACATTCCCTGAAGGAATCCTAAGGGAGACACAAAACTTCCAGCAGCTAGGCAGTATATCCCACAAACAATGCCATGGTTTCCCAAAGAGCCAGGTGAGAAATGAATCTATTCTGTCTTTAGCTGGGGCCTGTTCCTGTTTTGCCTCCCTGAACCCAAGCACACTAGCATAATACCCCAAAGATGAGGGTCATCCATGCATGATTGGTGGTTGGAGACCGTGATGAGGGGGGTGGCAGGACCTCGGTTCTCAATGAGCTCATACAGAACTTCTTTGTTGTGCACGGTGAGTTGGTTCATGTACTCTGGGAAGAGAAGTCAGTCTCAAGCTCTTGCTCATTTCCACCTGCCCGGGGATTCTTCCAGTGCCAGAAGAGACCCTGCCATAACCCCAGTACCCAAAGCCAGGCTGACAGCCTGTGACAGACTCTGCCTTAGCCTTTGACCACTCACTGGTCCAGAAGCAGCTGTAGGTGCCCACCAGGCCCATGACGACGCTACTGGCTATGGTCCAGGTGAGCCGGGGCACCGCGGGGAACGGCCACTTCACGTGGAGGGGCATCTCCTTCAGTTCTGACCCCGCAGCCCGGAGCTCCTTCTGCCCCGGGCCAGCCCGTGTCCTCCACCGCTCAGGAAGAGGGATCTTCGGCAGACTAGCAGAGGGCCTCCCTAGCACCACTCTCTGGACAGAGAAGAGCCGCCGCTCAGGTCAGGAGTCAGAGTTGCTGTGGAGAACTACACATATAACACTACCTTGGGGGCCTCACGGTCCACGCACCCGCCGGAAAGCGAGCCGGGAAAGGCTCCTCGCCTGTTGTCGCAAAACAGGCCTAGGTCGCTTGACGGCTGCCGGGGGCAGGTCTAAACCAGCCTCGCTCCTCCCCCTTCCGTCAGGGTCTTGGCTAGGGACTGCCATAAGCTCTGCGTCTCTTTGATTCCTTAATTTTAGTGACACGAGCTGCGCAGCACCATTACCTGAAGCAACTCAAGACCTAGACTGGTAGAACCCTTTTACATATTAACTCTTCTCCTCTCCCACCCTGTGTGAATCCGGTTATGCACGCTTCTGAAGGCGCACGCCGAGGCAAGAAAAGGGCATTGAGTATCCGTGTTCATCATTCTGTGCCTTACTACTTTCGAAATAAGGTCTATTATTGAGCCTGGAGTCACGTTCTCCGCCTATGTTGGCGTCCAGGAAGCCGCAGCGATTCTCTTATTGGTCCCCTCCATTTAAAGCAGTATAGTCTCATATATAACCCACACTAGCCTCACACTCAATATGTAACCTACGCTGGGCTTGAAGTCACAGTAATTCTCCTGCCTGTCTCTCAAGTGCTGGTATTATGTGGGCGTCAAGAGAGGCTTAGAGAGAGAGAGAGAGAGAGAGAGAGAGAGAGAGAGAGAGAGAGAGAGAGAGAGAGAGAGAGAGAGAGAGAGAGAGAGAGAGAGAGAAGAGGGAGAGGGAGGAGAGGAGAGGAGAGAGATTGATTTACTGTGATCCCTAGCTAGTCTGGAACTTAATAAACAGACCAGTGAGCTGGGGATTTGGGGGGGGGGTTATCTCCACAATAGAGTACTTGATTAGCATTCATGTGATAGCAAAAGTAACAAATTTCTGCCCATGGGACATATTTCTAAGATGCCACTCCATAGTCATCCAATGGGGACCTGAAAGGACTCAGTGGCCAGTCGTGCTGCCTATCGTGTGCAGAGGGTCCGTTGCTTTGGGTTTTCTGAGCAGTCACATCGGCAAACATAATTTAAGAGGTCCTAAGGACCTGGAGAGAAGACTGTTTTTGTTTCGCTTCATGCTGCGGGGAAGGGGCCAGAGAATGAGTGAGCAAACCTCCTAACCTTGTTCTCTAAGTCCAGGTACCTGCTCAATGATGGGCCACTGCTCGTCGGCGCGGGTGGCACCAACCACACTCAGGTCCCCAAGGTGCTGTCCATTCTGTAGAAGCACCACCCATCTTGGGCGGGGAGGGCAGGCAGGTGGCCAGTTCCCAGGCAGGGCGGAGCCCCGTCCGGCTTGTTGGGACAAGAGAGTTGGCTATGGGGCTGGCCCTTTGGGTGGGTCTGGAAGCGGACTTCCTCTTCACCCCAGCCCAAGTTCTTACCCTGGCTGGCGCTGCAATTCTGTGGAGTGTTTCAATCGGTTCAAGACTGAGGCAGGCGTGGGACCAAGTTGGTCTACCGAGGTAAGAGAATCCTGCGGGGCTAGGAAAAGGGAGGAGCTTAAAAGGGGAAGGGACCTTTGATCCAGAACTAAAGCTGGTTTTGGAAGACTAGGATGGGGATTGAGTTGAGGACAGGAACAGTCATTCTTTGCAATCCCTTCCCTGAATTCTAGTGGTCTCAGTCTTCAGATGTAGCTTCGCCAGTGCAGAGCTGCACCAATTCTCTCATGTATCCCAGAACAGACACCGGTGCAAAGAGACGAAAATAAGCATGAGTGGCAGAGCAGGTGGCCAGAGAGAAACAAATATCAAGGCCAGCCAGGATGACACTAATAGAAACGCTGAGATTGGCAGAACTGGGAAGATAGAACAAGACAGATAGGAAATTAACAGAGAGGAGAAAGCGACAAGGTGACTAAGAAAAACAAGCAAACAGAAACAGAGGGACTCGCCGGGCGTTGATGGCGCACTCCTTTAATCCCAGCAGAGGCAGAGGCAGGCGGATCTCTGTGAGTTCGAGGCCAGCCTGGTCTACAGAGCGAGTTCCAGGACAGCCTCCAAAGCCACAGAGAAACCCTGTCTCGAAAAACCAAAAAAGAAAAAAAAGAAAAAAAAAAAAAGAAACAGAGGGACTCGTGCTTCGGAATGTTATATGGATAGGGAGTACAGTAAAGGACCGAGCTCCAAAGATATGGTAAGGCAGAGGTGAGCATGAGACAAACACTCAAAGAGGGGATCCAGGAGCACCCAGTAAGGTTGAGGACAGTCTGGGACTACATAGTGAGTTACAGGCCAGCCTTAGTTATAAATTAAGACCTGTATATGAAACAAGCAAATGAAAACAGAAAGGGGGAAAAGGAAAACACATAACAAGTCACAAATAAAAAGAGATGGGTTGGTATAATGATTTAAGGAAATATGCTGTCAAATTTGATGGCCTGAGTTTGATCCCTGGAACCCACATGGAGAAAGAAGAAAAAAAAAACCAGACTCCACATAGAGTCATGCACACGAGCATACATACAAACACACACAAATAAATGTTTGGTTTTTTTTAAGAGTCAAGTGTGGTGCCTGCCTTTAATCAAAGCACTCTGGAGGCAGAGGCAGTTGGATTTCTTGTGAGTTCAGAGGCCAGAATGGTCTACAGATCAAGTTCCAAGACTGGCTCTGTAGCTACTGAGAAACCCTGTCTTCAAAAAAAGGTTAAGAAGAAGAAAGAAATACCAGAAGAGGTTCATGTTTTATTTTCTAATGTGTATGAGACAAACTGAACCTTCTTGAATCTGGGACTATCTCTGCCTTAGCTAGGAAGTGGGTCTATGTGGAAAATGGTACACAGCAGTTTATTTTATTTTATTTTATTTATTTTGAGACGGGTTGGCTGGGTATCCCTGGCAGACTAGAGCTCAGTCTGTAGACCAGGCTGGCCTAGAACTCAGCTATCTGCCTGCCTCTAGTTCCTGAGTGTTGGGCTTACAGGCCTGCGCCAACACCACCCAGCTGCTTCTTGACATTTTGAGGAAGTAGGTTAAAAGAATGAGCTTATACCCTATGCACTGTTAGTAGGAATGTAAAATGGCACATCAGCTAAGAAAACAGTGTGGTCTTCCTTTTTTTTCTTTTTGGTTTTTTGAGACAGGTTTTCTCTGTATTGTTTTGGAGACTGTCCTGGAACTTGCTGTTGTAGACCAGGTTGGTCTTGAACTCACAGAGATCCACCTGTCTGTGCCTCCCGAGTCCTGGGATTAAAGACTTTCACCACCATTGCCCAGCAAAAGTTTATTTGTTTTTATTATGTATACATTGGCGTTTTGCCATAGGTGCTGGCTCCCCTGAAACTGGGGTTGTAGACAGCTGTGAGCTGCCACATAGGTCCTAGGAATTCGACCTGGGTCCATCTGGAAGAGCAGTCAGTGCTCTTAACCACTGAGCCATCTCTCCAGTAAGTGTGATGTTCCTTAAAAATAAGCCAAGCAGCCGGGCGTTGGTGGTGCACGCCTTTAATCCCAGCACTTGGGAGGCAGAGGCAGGCGGATCTCTGTGAGTTCGAGGCCAGCCTGGTCTACAGAGCTAGTTCCAGGACAGCCTCCAAAACAATGCAGAGAAACCCTGTCTCGAAAACCCCCCCAAAAAAAAAAAAAGCCAAGCAGTGGTGGCACATGACTTTAATTCCAACACTCAGGAGGGAGGCACAGGCAGGTGGGTCTCTGAGTTTGAGGCTAGCCTGGTCTACAGAGCGAGTTCCAGGACAGCCTCCAAAGCTACACAGAGAAACCCTGTCTTGAAAAACAAAACAAAAATGACGAAAGAGAGATTAAAAATAAAAATATCATATGAATCAGCAGTTCTGCTTTAGGAAATTGAGGTGCTTGCTTTACTCAAAATGGCTGAGTTGGAGTGTGATTCAAATGATATAGTGCTTGCCTAGTTATAATGCTTACATAGTATAGCCTTCCTTATATAGTCAACATATGAGGCCCTGGGTTCTATCCCCAGCACTGCATAAACCAAGCTTGGTGGTATACACCTGTAATTCCAGTGTGGGTGAGGTAGAGGGAGGAGAATCAGAAGTTCAAGGTCAGCTTGACACAAAAAAACCCAAGCAAACAAAACAATACAGGGTTCGGAATATAGCTCAGTACTAGAGCACTTCCTTAGCATGTGTAAGGCCCCATCATCAGTCCCCAGTACCCCACATAAAAAAAATAAATAAGAGCCAGGCATTGGTGGTGCATGCTTTTAATCCCAGCACTTGGGAGGCAGAGGCAGATGGATCTCTGTGAGTCTGAGGCCAGCCTGGTCTACAGAGGGAGTTCCAGGATAGGCTCCAAAGCTACACAGAGAAACCCTATCTCGAAGAAAAAAAAGAGCCAGGCAGTGGAGGCACACGCCTTTAATTCTAGCACTCAGGAGGCAGAGGCAGGCTGATCTATGTGAATTTGAGGCCAGCCTGGTCTACAGAGTGAGTCTCAGGACAGTCAAGGCTGCATAGAGAGACCCTGTCTCTAAAAAAAAAACCAACAAATAAATAAGTAAAAGAAACCAAGTAGTGGATGTACCCGAAAGCTGATGGACAAAGTGTGTCTGAGTATAGACTGGAATATTAATCACCCTTAATAAGGAAGATGGGGCCAGGGGGTGGTGGCTCACACCTTTAATCCCAGCATTTAGGAGGCAGAGGCAGGCAGATCTTTGTGAGTTTGAGGCCAGCCTGGTCTGCAGAGTGAGTTCTAGGACATCCAGAGCTGTTACACACAGAAATCCTGTCTTGAAAAACCAAAACCAAAAAAAAGAGAATGTTTACTACTCTTTCAGAGGGCCTGAGTTTGGGTTCAAGTGCCTACAGGTTGTTCACAACCTCCTGTAACTCCAGTTTAAGAGGGATCTGATGTATCTGGACTTTGAAGTTGCCTGTGCTCACATGAACATACCCATGTGCGGACACATATACATAATTGAAAGTGAAGTATATCTTGTTTTAATGTAAGAGAATTTCTGGGCTGACAAGATAATGTCAGTGGGTAAAGACATCTGCTATAGGGCTGGAGAGATGGCTCAGAGGTTAAGAGCACTGACTGCTGTTCCAGGGGTCCTGAGTTCAATTCCCAGCAACCACATGGTGGCTCACAACCATCTACAATTCAATCTGGTGCCCTCTTCTGGCCTGCAGGCAGAACATTGCATATGTGATAAATGTTTTGTTTTGTTTTGGTTTGGTTTTTCGAGACAGGGTTTCTGTGTGGCTTTGGAGGCTGTCCCAGAACTCACTTTGTAGACCAGGCTGGCCTCGAACTCATAGAGATCCGCCTGCCTCTGCCTCCCGATTGCTGGTATTAAAGGCGTGCGCCACCAACACCCGGCTAATAAATAAATGTTAAAAAAAAGACATCTGCTGTGAAAGCCTGGTACCCTGAGTTTGATCCCATGAAGCTACATAAAGGTAGCAGATAGGAGCTGACACCACAAAGTTGTCCTCTGACCACCACATAAGAGCCACAGCACATACCCAACACACACAATAATAATAATTAAAAAATTAAATTCAGGGCTAGAGCCAGGTATGGTGTCACACATCTCTATCCCAACACTCAGGAGGCAGATAATCTCTGTGAGTTCAAGGACAGCCTATCTACAGAATGGGGTCCAAGACTACATAGTGAAAACCTGTCTCAAAAACCCAAAATAGCCGGGCGTTGGTGGCGCACGCCTTTAATCCCAGCAATCGGGAGGCAGAGGCAGGCGGATCTCTATGAGTTCGAGGCCAGCCTGGTCTACAAAGTGAGTTCCGGGACAGCCTCCAAAGCCACAGAGAAACCCTGTCTCGAAAAACCAAAAAAAAACAAAAAACAAAAACCCAAAATAGCTAAATATATATACCAGGTGGTGGTGCACACCTTTAATCCAGCATTTGGGAGGCAGAGGCAGGTGGATCTCTGTGAGTTTGAGGCCAGGCTGATCTACAGAGTGAGTTCCAGGACAGCCAGGACTATTACACAGAGAAACCCTGTCTCAAAAAAAAAAAACTGAGTCATTCGAGGGCTGTTCTCATTGTGCTTGTGTGCTTTGACGCAGGATAGACTCAAACTTGTGATCTTCTGCCAGGCAGTGGTGGCTCATGCCTTTAATCCCAGCACTTGAGAGTCTGGGGCAGGTGAATCTCTGTGAATTTGAGGCCAGCCTGACCTATAAAACAAACAACAACAAAAAACACTTGTGATCTTCATACCTTCATCTCTCAGATGCTGGAATTATAGGAGTTTGCCACCACACTTAGCCTTGTTTTTGTTTTTTGAAAGACAAGGTCTCAGGACTGGGGTTGCTCAATGGCAATGTGCTTCTCTACCATGCCTAGAAAGTTTTATGTCATACAACATGTATCTTACACTTCCCAGGAAAACATGGCAGAAACATTCAGGGCCAACAGCAGGGAGAACACCAATTAGCCAAGATGGGCTCCAGTGCCAATGCACTCTGAACAACCTGGATTCCTTTGGAGGGCTCCTGATGCCACATATGGCCATGCATGGGCTTGTTGTGGCTCTCCTGCTCATCCTCCTGGCTGGTGGGACTGAAGCCTTTCGTATTTGTGCCTTCAATGCCCAGAGACTGACACTGGGCAAGGTGGCCAAGGAGCCAGTGATGGATACCTTAGTTCAGGTAAGTTGAATTCATTGTTGCAGAAATCTGTGTGCCTCCAGGTGTTGGTGGCACACGCCTTTAATTCCAGCACTCAAGAGGCAGAGGCAGGCGGATCTCTGTGAGTTCAAGACCAGCCTGGTCTACAGAGTGAGTTCCAAAGCAACAAAAAACCCTGTCTCAAAAAAACAAGAGAGAGAGAGAGAGAGAGAGAGAGAGAGAGACATCTGTGTGCCTAAGGACCTTGACCAAAAGCCCTCAGCTCTGACCAGGGACATGCACTCAAAGGGGGGGGGGGGGACATCTGAAAATATGAGTGCGCAGATGTGAAGTGTCCTTCAACTATCATTTAATTACTAACCTCATCCTCTTAAAAACAATAGCCAAGGTATAGTAGAAGAGTATGATGCTCTTTGTTTTCCTGGGATCCTCCTAGTCCCACTGCTGTCTGAGGCCACCCTAGTGCCAGTCTTTATATATGTCAACCCCTCCATAGTGATAACTTTGAATTGAGCTATTATCCCTCATTCCTTGCAGATCCTGGCCCGATGTGATATCATGGTGCTTCAGGAGGTGGTAGATTCTTCCCAGAAAACTGTCTCTTTTCTGCTTCGAGAACTTAATAGGTAAAGAAGGGTTCTGTTAACCCTGTCTCGAAAAACCAAAAAAAAAAAAAGAAGAAGGGTTCTGTTAATCTAATCTGGGTTCCACCCAGAACCTCAGGGACCCTGACTCTGGATTTTTTCTTGCAGATTTGACAGTTCTAGGACTTACAGCTTCCTAAACAGCTCCCTACTAGGGCGCAGCACATACAAGGAGAAGTATGTTTATATCTACCGGTGAGTACAAGTGTTGAATTCTATCCTCATAAAGACAATTCTAGTTGGTCCTCACGGTCTGAAGACCCAGCTAGTCTATTCAAAGGCTAAATTAGATAAAAGAGTTGCTCAAGACCATGAGTTCAAGACCAGCTGGGCAATAATGAAAATAGATCTCAAAAAAAAAAAAAAAAACAGGACTGGAGACATGGCTCAGTGGTCAAGAGCACTGACTGCTTTTCCCAGAAGGTCCTGAGTTCAATTCACAGCATCCACATAGTGGCTCACAGCCACCTCTAGTGAGATCTGGTGCCCTCTCCTGGCATAAAGGCATACATGCAGGCAGAGTGCTCATGTGCATAAAATAAATAAACAAATCTTTAAAAAAAAACCCAGGAAACTTCTAGATAAGCCAGGCGTTGGTGGCACACACCTTTAATCCCAGCACTTGTGCACTTGGGAGGCAGAGGCAGGCGGATCTCTGTGAGTTCAAAGCCAGCCTGGTCTCCAGAGCGTGTTCCAGAACAGGCTCCAAAACAATACAGAGAAACCCTGTCTCGAAAAACCTAACCAAACCAAACTAAACCAAACCAAACAAAAAAACCCCAAAAGTTCTAGATAGAGCTGAAGAGATAGTTCAGTGTTTTAAGAGCACTTGCTGCTCTTTCAGAGGACTAGGGTTTTATTCCAAATACACATACAATAGCATACAACCATCATTAACTCCAATTCCAGGGGATTGGACACCCTCTTCTGGCCTCTGCAGACCCATGGTGCGCAGACATACATGCAGGCAAAACACTCATACACATAAAAAAAATTTTTTTGGTTTTTTGAGACAGGGTTTCCTCTGTGACTTTGGAGGCTGTCCTGGAACTCACTCTGTAGACCAGACTGGCCTCGAACTCACAGAGATCCACCTGCGTCTGCCTCCCGAGTGCTGGGATTAAAGGTGTGCGCCACCAACACCCAGCTAAAAGTAAATCTTAAAATAAAAACAAGCCGGGCATTGGTGGCGCACGCCTTTAATCCCAGCACTCGGGAGGCAGAGGCAGGCGGATCTCTGTCAGTTCGAGACCAGGCTGGACTACAGAGTGAGTTCCAGGACAGCCTCCAAAGCCACAGAGAAACCCTGTCTCGAAAAAAACCAAAAAAAAAAAAAAAAAAAAAAAAAACCAAAAGTAGTTCCAGGTAGCTGAAGACATAACTCAGTGGCAGGGTACATGTTTATCCCTAGAAAAAAAACAAAAAACCCTCCAAGCTAGAAGTAGTCTCACTTGCCTGTAATCCCAGCACTCAGAGGCAGTCAGGTGGATGTCTGTGAGTTCAAGGTCAGCCTGGTCTAGAGAGTTCCAGGACAGCCAGGGCTACGTAATAGAGAAACGTTGTCTAAAAAAAAAAAGAAAATCCAGAAGTTCTAGAAAAAAAAGTTGTGCCCACATGAAACTGGCAGAAAAAGGAACCAGAAGTGTTCCTCCCTGAGCACTAACTCAGCTGTTTTCACATTAGACTTGGAGCCACTGCTTCCTACCCTTGGTATTTCTAGGTCTGACAAGACACAGGTTCTGAATTCCTATCAGTACAATGACACAGATGACCTTTTTGCCCGAGAACCATTTGTGGCCCAGTTCACTCTCCCCAGCAAAAGTAAGAGGGGGAAGAAAGGTGGGCCTGGTACATGGAAATGGGAGAGGGAGGTACTGCTGGCTTTCCTGTGGGTTGGTCCCTAGGGGAAGTGGAAGTGGATGTGTGTGAGAAGAGCTGACAGCTATGGCAGCCTCAGCTTCCTGGGCCTTGCAGTCCTTCCAAGCGTGGTACTGGTTCCACTCCACACTACTCCCAAGGATGTAGAGAAGGAGCTGAATGCCCTATATGATGTGTTTCTGGATGTCTCCCAACGCTGGCAAAATGAGGTAAGAGTGATAGCTTGCACAGGAGAGGGTTTGCTGGGACTGCCCTGTGGCAAAATCCAGACACTTGTTTCATCTTCAGGATGTGATCCTGCTTGGAGACTTCAATGCTGACTGTGCCTCACTGACTAAAAAGCGTCTCAACAGCCTGCTACTGCGGACTGAGGCAGGCTTCCACTGGGTGATTTCTGATGGGGAGGACACTACAGTGCGGGCCAGTACCAACTGTACCTATGATCGAATTGTGATGCATGGGCAGGGCTGTCAGACACTGCTGAGGGCTGCAGCACCCTTCAACTTCCCCAGGAGCTTTCGGCTGACTGAGGACGAGGTAGAGAAGCTGGGTTGGCATGAGGGCTACACAATGGCTGAGGGCAAAATTGTGGTGAGTTGATAGGAAACTTCCTCAGCCCCAGGAACTGACACTTCATCTTGCTGTCCCTCCCAAGGCTCTCAGCATCAGTGACCATTATCCTGTAGAGGTGGAGCTGAATCAAGCAACTCCTAATATCCAACCCTTCAGTTTGGCCATTCTGCTCCTGATGTCACTTTTGCCATCTCAACTGGACAATGTGGCAACACCTTTTCTACCTGATGGCCATTGACTTGACTCTTAACATTGGCGTCTCCTGAAGACAAGACCTGAATGGCTTTAATTACAGCCTTCCCTTTATATGTAGGCTTTTTGCTGCTTGGTATTCCTAGAGGAAGACAGGGCTACCAGTGTTATTTCTTATATCCAATACCCTCGGTTCAATCCATTTGGAATAGATGACTTGTCACTGCAAGTCATTCCACCTTAGTCAGAAGCAGAGACAAGGAGGTTCCAGGGCTATCTCTCCAACAGATACATGAAGTCATTATTGTCACCACAGGCCTACTTAAAAAATTTTAGCTCGCCGGGCGGTGGTGGTGCACCCCTTTAATCCCAGCACTCGGGAGGCAGAGGCAGGCGGATCTGAGTTCGAGACCAGCCTAGTCTACAAGAGCTAGTTCCAGGACAGGCTCCAAAGCCAGAGAAACCCTGTCTCGAAAAAAAGCCAAAAAAAAAAAAACCTTTTAGCTCCAAACAATCCTGTTTCTCAAATGATTCACCAAACCATAAAACCCCATCTAAGAATCAGATACAGCTAAGTTAAAGGCACATGCCTTTAACCCCCAGCACCTGGGAGGCTGAGGTTTGAGGCCAGCTTGGAGTTCCCAGTCAGGGCTATTACACAAATAAACCCGGTCTTGAAAAACAATTAAAAATCAGATACAAATATGTAAGCATTCTGGATGTGAGATTTATTACTGAACATGATTTGGTAGGGTACAGGAGAGTACTGTGGAGGCTCTCAGGAGTGCAGGGCTCGCCACTTGTCCAGGGGGCCACGATTAGGGATATATTTGACCCCACAGCCATCAGGAATGAGCCGTTTCTCAGCAACCATGTCCTCAAATTCATCTGCATTAAATTTGGTGAAGCCCCATTTCTTGGAGATGTGGATCTAGAGGGAGACAGAAAAAGTTAACGAGGAGACCAGAGAAAGAAAGCAAGAAGGGAACTTATTAATATCACCTACCTTCTGGCGGCCAGGGAACTTGAACTTGGCTCTACGAAGAGCCTCAATCACATGTTCCTTATTCTGCAGCTTGGTGCGAATGGACATGATGACCTGGCCAATGTGAACCCTGGCCACTGTGCCCTGAGGCTTCCCAAAGGCACCACGCATACCTGTCTGGAGCCTAGATTGGGGACATCATTGAGATCAGAAACTTGAGTAACTGAGAAAATTGTCTCCAAGGTCCCTTAGAGCAGCCCATATGGGCAACAGGCTGCATACACTACCAAGGAGGCTGCTGTTTGCAACCATTGCACACCAGGCTCCCATGGGGAAAGGGAACTGGTCGGCTTAATTAGCTGCAAATAAAATAAAATCTCAAAATAGTCCAAAGTACAAAGAAACCATCTGGAAAAACAAAGCAAAAATAGGATAGTTATGATCAGAAAAGAGTACAAACAGCACAAAAGTTCTCTTCTCTACTTCAGGGCCTTAGCTGTATGCCTGTGAACCGCTAGTGTGCCTGATGCTGTCAGAAGCCAGCATTGGATATCTTAGAATTATAGTTAGAGAGCTACTATGCAGATTTAAGAAATGAACAGAGTTCTTCTACAAGAGCCAAGTGCTCCTAGCCAGAGCTGAGCCATCTTTCCAGCCTATCTGTCTTGACTGGTGAAAAAGAAAAAACTCAACATTATAGACCACAAATTACATGAAAAGGTGCAAACTGCCAACTTACCTGTCAGCTCCAGCACAGGACAACATCTTGTTGATTCGGATGACATGGAAAGGGTGGAGCCTCACTCGAATATGAAAGCCATCCTTGCCACAACTCTTTACCATGTATTTGTTGGCACAAATACGGGCTGCCTCTAGAGCTGCGTGGGGGAGAAAACCAGCAGTGAAAACAGGGTATTGTAGAGGCAGGTCTGGGATGGAGGTCATGTCAGTGGAATAAATCATAGAAAAATATCAAAATTAATGAAACTGCCACTATCATGCGGACTACACAGGAAGAAATGTTGATCAGCAAAAGGGTTCTCACCTTCGGAAGAGAGTTGCTCATATTCATCTGACACCATGTGGCCACAAAGTGGAAATTCATCAACTTTTGCCTTCTTCCGTCCCAAATCAAAGATTCTAATTTTAGCATCTGAAAAACGCAAGCACATGGTATTAAGTGCCCGTGGAGTGGGAATCAGACAGCATCACAGATCCTTTTCCAAGTTTGTCATTACTTACCAGGGACACCTCGGCAGAAGCGAGACTTTGGGTACGGCTTGTTCTTACAATATCGGTAACTGCAGGAGCAAGAAATTCAGGTGTGACAAGAGGGGCAACTAAACACAGCAAGCTTTAAGTAGTAACAAAGGGACAAGACCAAGCCCGAATTCATTCTGTCAGTGGATGCTGACTCTAAGGCAACTAATTAAACAAATTGCCATCTAAGATCCATGAAACAAAAACCAAGCACCAGTATCAACCCTTAATCAGAGTAAGGTGAGATAGCACATTTTTTCCTTAAGACTTCGGAGCATGTGACATAAAACCCGCCTCAGCCACGTGAAGAGAATATGGCGCCCTCTGCAGGGCGTGCGGCTAGATGGTGCCTACAACGGCTTGGCGGGCCCTTAAGTGTCTGGTTGAAACCACAAAGCACACAGCCCGGAAATAACAAAGATACAGAAGTCACCAAAAAGGCATGGGAGTCTTTGTGACAAGGTTCCTTTGGCAAGATAGAAGGTTGGGTGCATACGCACATGCTTCTTGCTCTACAAAATCGGTTTAAAGTAGTCGTTGGCTGGCTAACCAATACACAAGCTTGAAAAGACAAAGCCCCAGGAAAGCATTAAAGAAAACCTGGGGTCAGTTTTTAGTTCAGCGTCGCTGAGTGACGAAGAGTCCACCCCCAAAAAATGTCTTTGAGAAGAAATGCAATTATTCCTCCGTTTTTACAATAGAAAGAAAAATGGATTTAGAACTCACCACCGGGCAGGGCGGCGACCCATGATGACAATAGGATCGTCGGTGGCTGTAATGAAACGTTCAGAGTAAGAATACAGACCCAGAATACGCGTAAGAATCCCAAAGACGAAAGACGGAAACACTGAAAACCATTAAGGAACCGAACGCACTCACCGCGCTGGAGGAAAAGAGACGCTCCCACGCCTGCGCATGCTTTATATAGGCGGCCTATCTTCCAGCGTAGGAACCATAGAGTCTCAGCCTTGGAGTGGTGTCGACGCTCTATCAGATGCTAGGATCATAGATGCAGCGGCGCTCTGCGCATGTGTACCAGGCCGGTCCGAAACATGCGCAGAGCGCTTTGGTGACTGGACACCGGAATCAGGCGGCGTGCTAGCGAATGGGGTTTCGACACATAGGCAAAAGAAATCAGCTTCCGTCTGGCCACTTGGGGCGGGGCGTTGACAGACTTTGCTGTGACTAATAGTCTAACAATATTCTAAGACTTGTAAAGAGGAATTTTTCACAGTAGAACTGGGCTGTAACGCAGGTGTTCCCTAGCTTAATGGGACTCCAGAATACTGGTTCAAGTTTTCCTCAAGGCTACAGGAAATGGCGCGAAGGCGCCATGCTAGGGACTCGGGAGTTCCTTTGTCAGCAGGGAGGTTGGATCCGGAAACCCACCCACAACGCTTCTGCCTACACGGAAAAGCCCACAAAGAGCACCATGATAGGCTCTTGGTTGTACTCAAGGGGTCGACAAAAAGCTTGTGTCGCCTTCACCACTAGTTGGGACCTCCCCACTTTCTCTAAACTCGCGGGAAAAGATAACTTATATTCTCAAGAAGATTGTAATTGGGCAAAGACAGTGGCGACACCACTACCTCCATTTATCTAAAGACGGCTTCAATGCGTTGGGCAACGCTCCAATAGGGGTGTCGGAGCTCTTTTGCAACAGGTTCCAAAAGAAAGACAAGCTGCTGGGCGTCGTTGACATGCACCTTTAATCCCACCATTCGGGCTGGAGGCGGAGGCAGGTGGGTCTCTGTGAATTAATAGCCAGCCTGGCCTACAGAGCGAGTTCCAAGACAGCCAGGACTGTTACACAGTGAATCCTGTGTTGAAAAATCAAAAAAAGAAAAAAAAGACAAGGTGTAGCACACCCTTCTTTTCACTATGACCAGTTCAAAATGTACGCTGGGTGTGTCTAGGAGGATTGGCATCTAATTACTGACTACTTTCCCAGACAAGGTTACTATCCAGGGAGACACCAGAAAAATACTGTTCTGACCCAGAAGCACGTGTCTGGCCATTAATCACTGAAACATGATAGAGACAGTGCTGTAGAGAAAGCCATTGGCTTTTCTAGAAGTAAAGGTAGGGACTAGGAGCCTTTCTTCACTACAGTTCTCACGGTGCAGCTCCCGGGTACAGAGGCCCAGCTTGTTCCAACATGTTTAGGAGCTCCAGCCCAGAGCTAGTAGGTTTCCTCTGCCTCTCTTCCAAATTGTTTCCCTGGGATGGTTCCTGTAGGTTTCTGCACTGTACTCTATCCCACACACACATTGTCATCTATCCCCTGAAGGCAGCTGTGTCCAGCCAGTCCTTTCCCTGATTGGTATTTATGCATTTGTAGAGGTGGCTGGTTCTTTAGCTGAAGAGGGATAAGTGAGAATCTAGCTTGCTTTATTTACTTGTTTGTTTTTGAGACAGAGTCTTACTATGTGTGGCCTTGGCTGGCCTACCCATCAGGCCTGCCTCCACAATACTGAAACTAAAGGTATGGTTCTAACCTGGACCTAGCATCTTACTGCTATGGGAAAAGATCATCTCCCAGAGTCACCCACAGGTAGTCAAACCTTTCCCTTTACCCTTGTCACTCTTCTCCAACTCCTTCTGGGCTTTCCTAGCTTTAGGCTCATTCTGGATGTACTGCCCTCTGCTGTTTCCCAACTGCTGTGTGGCAGGTAACCCCATGGTTAGTGCCTTCCACATGAATGGCACTTCTGTTCTCCAACAGTTTTTTTTTAGATTTATTTGTTTACTATAAACATCTGTGTATTTATATATTTTGGCCTCTTTTTCTTTTTTTTCTTTTTTCTTTTTGGCTTTTCGAGACAGGGTTTCTCTGTATTGTTTTGGAGGCTGTCCTGGAACTAGCTCTGTAGACCAAGCTGGCCTCAAACTCACAGAGATCCGAATGCCTCTGCCTCCCAAGTGCTGGGATTAAAGGCGTGTGCCACCAACGCCCGGCTTGGCCTCTTTTTCAATTAAACATTTTCGGGAACAAGATCTATGTCACCCTGGCTGGCCTGAAACTCACTATGTAGATCCGGCTAGCCTCCATTTCACAGAGGTCCACCTGCCTATGTTTCCAGAGTGTTGGGATTTAAGGCCTGTGCCACCACACTCAGCCATTTATTTGTATGTGTATGAATGTTTTGGCATGTACCCAGGTAAGTACACCGTATGCATGTCTGAGATGGCAGAGAACTGAAAGTGTCAGATCCATCTGGAACTGGAGTTACTGACAGTTGTGAGTCCCCAAGTGTGTGCTGGGAACTGACCTCAGGTCCTTTGTAAGAACAGTGCTCTTACAACTGACCCTTCACTTCAACCCTTAAGATTTATTTTTGTGTATGAGCATGCCTTTAATCCCACAGAGATCCGCCTGCCTCTGCCTCCCAAGTGCTGGGATTAAAGGCGTGCGCCACCAACGCCCTGCCCTACTGCAGATTCTATGCCACGTGGCATG